ATATATATATATATATATATATATATATAAGCATCCTGTAGTCGCTAAGGAGCGAATATGTAGTGCAAGGGTCAGCAAGGGTCGCATGACACGAGAGGTTGTCCAAATGTATTAATAGATTCAAGCGAATACCCACCTCTTATAAAATAGAAAAGCATGAACAAATGTTTCATAGTAGTGAAAAGGGGCTTGGAACACTGAGCAAAACCAAAAACTCAAACGAATTTCCTCCGTTCTAATAATATGTCGTTCTGGTTTTTAGGTACATTATTTTTGCTATGTATCTAAATATAGACTATGTCTAAATATATAATAAAAGGTTATATATCTAGAAAAGTCAAAAGGACTTATAGAATGGAAGGAATGTATTCTAGGACGAACTTTAAATTCAAAACTGCAAAAAGCTATATGGAGTAGATAGGGTTAGGTCATCCCTTCAATCTCTATACAGTGACTGGGTCCAAACGGCCTAACAGTCTCACATCTCTTCCCACGGGACATATTCTTACCAGTACCAACTTCTCTCCCAAATCTCCGTCATCCGCTTTCCTCTCTTGTGGTTCACCCGGCATCGCTCGCTTCGAGTTCCTGCTCATCATCCGCCCGACACCGGGCACCCTCTCCACCGCGCCTTATCACAAGTGTCAGCCTTCCTCCCTCTCCATGGCGTCCCTTGCCCGCTTTGCTCCTTCTCCAAGGACAACTCCCGTCGGAAACAATGAGCAAGCAACATCATCTCTCTCTCTCTCTCTCTCTCTCTCTCTCTCACTCACTCACCCACATCCATCCGCCTTCCTCCATCGCGAAGCTAGCATATTATGAGCATGTCTGTTGCTGCTATCATCATGCTCTAAGCTGGACATCTTGTACTGCTCAGGGAGGCCCAGATCCGCACCCTCCTCTTTGGATCTAGGGCCACTGGTGCTCAGCATATGGTTTTGGGATGTTGCATTTGTTGTTGTTTTTATGCTGCATCAGGAGGTTTCTCATGTTTCCATAACAAATTCAGATGTTTCCGTTGATGATCCCTCATGTTGTTGCGACAAAACTAGCATGTTGTGTCACATGTTTGTTTGGTGTTCTCATGTTGCTGCAACAAACTAGTATGTTGCCTCACATGAATGCTTGGTGTTGCAGTAAGTGATTATTTCTTGGTGTTGCAGTAAGCAATCATTTTCTTATGATGACTAGAGATGTTGCATCTCCTTTATTTTGATGTTACATTAGTTGGCTGTTGGATGTTGCATCCTGCTGATTTTCCATGTTCCAGCAAACAGACTGAGATGTTACAATGATTGATTTCTCATGTTACAGCAGTAAAACTAAGATGCACTAGCTGATGGTTTTGCCTATCGACTAATGATGTATCATTTGCTTTGTAACTGAATATTGTATGTTGCACTTTGTTGATTCCCCATGTTGTAGAACAGACAGAGACCAAGGCACGGCGCGACGAATGGGGCGTGGTGGGGACAGGGCAAAGCATTGCACCACCCGCTCTTGTTGTGAGAGGAAATCGTGTGGACAAACGAAAGCTATAACGCAGGATTTGACAGTTTTGTTCGCTTGTATTGCACGGCTGGGAGCTACGTCCGGACGCAGCCAAGGGCCGGACGTCTGGACGCTAGGAGCGCCGAAAGCTATAACGTTAGATTCAAACAAAATACATTATTAACTTTTGGATCCATCCAAAAAAATATAAGATTATTAGTGGTCCTAGATACCTCATTTTGGATCCCATTGTGGAGTCATGCCAACACGAATGAAGTGACTCTATCGCCAAGTCAGTGACATATATGGAAAGTTTGTACGCAATATGAACGTATCTAGTTTATCATACTGTGTGACGTGAACGTACCAACGAATCCAACCCCAAAATGATTTCTGAAGGCGAAGGGCTCAATAATGCAATCCAAAAAAACCGTAGTGGCCACTAGTGGGGAATCTCCGGACACTACCGGAAACATCAAATTTGCCGAGTGTTTTTATGTTTGCCAAGTGTATTCTCTCGGACACTCGATGAACAAGTTCTTTGCCGAGTGCTGTACTAAAAATACTCGGCAAAAAAAAACACTCGATAAAGAGAAGGTTTGCCGAGTGTAAAAAAAACACTCGGCAAAGATGGGGTTTGCCGAGTGTTTTTTTTTTACACTCGCCAAAGAAGTAAAATCTTTTTTCTAGGAAAGAAGGAGAAGAAAAAATGAAAAAAAAACTTTGCCGAGTGCCCAGATCCAGGACACACGGCAAAGAAATAAAAATATTTTTTTCTGGAAAAGAAGGAGAAGAAAAAAAATAAAAAAAAAACTTTGCCGAGTGCCCAGATCTAGGATACTCGGCAAAGGAAAAAAATATTTTTTCTAGGAAAGAAGGAGAAAAAGAATGAAAAAAAAAACTTTGCCGAGTGCCCAGATCTGGGACACTCGGCAAACCAAAAAAATCTTTTTTTTAACCCCAGCGGACGCGTCCTACCCTTCTCCCCGCACGGCACCCTCCCCTTCTCCCCGCACTGCGTCCGCATGCCCCCTCCCCTTCTCCGCCCCTCCACGCGCACGCGCACGCGCCGCGCACTACCGGAGACGGCTTCTTTGCCGAGTGTCCCAGACTTTGCCGAGTGCTTTTTATCGGGCACTCGGCAAAGAGGTTGTTTGTCGAGTGCCAGAGAGAAAGCACTCGGCAAACAACTGGTACTCGGCAAAGCGATGGTTTGCCAAGTGCCGAGCACTTGGCAAACAATAACACTCGGCAAAACTGGTCTTTGCCGAGTGTTATTCTCCTGACACTCGGCAAAGGGCAGCCGCCGTTAACCCTTTGCTGAGTGTCTTCTCCTGACACTCGGTAAAGTGGTGATTTGCCGAGTCTCATTTTTTGACACTCGGCAAACCATATTTTTTTTCATTTTTGACCTCCAAACTTTTTCTGCAGTCCTCATACAATAACTGGTACTCCATGTTCCAATGTGGCACATTTCTCGAACTTTTTCTATATTTCTTTAATTTATTTCATTTAATTGAATTTTCTTGGATAATTCAAATTATAACTGCTAGTCATTCGAATAATGAAAAAAAATGGAAAAATGATATTCATGTTATTTAGTATAATGTGAGGCCGTCCGAGACCCGGACCACCAATTTCGAACATCTTGTTCACGAAACATGACCACGAACTTGCGGTCGAGTTGTTTTTAAATTCTATAAAAAGCAAACGAAGTCCGAAAATCATGAAACTTGTCAAGATGTCATGATATCATATGTGGAGGCTGTGATAAAAATTTGAGAATGTTTCACACAAGTTGTCACGTACGATGCTTGCAAACCGAAGAATCTTCAAAGAAGTTTCATGATTTCGTGAAGAGGCCGACGAGGTGGTAAGCATCGTACATGACAAACTTGCGCGAAACCTCCTCAATTTTTTATCACAGCCTCCACATATGATATCATGACATCTCGACAAGTTTCAAGATTTTCGGTCTTTGTTTACTTTTTATAGAATTTAAAAACAACTCGACCGCAAGTTCGTGATCTTGTTTCGTGAACAAGATGTTCGAAATTGGTGGTCTGTTCCTGGATACGGCCTCACATTATACTAAATAAGATGAATATCATTTTTTCATTCATTATTTTTCATTATTCGAATGACTAGCGGTTATAATTTGAATTATCCAAGAAAATTCAATTAAATGAAATAAATTAAAAATATATAGAAAAAGTCCGAGAAATGTGCCACGTTGGAACATGAAGTACCAGGTATTGTATGAGGACTGCAGAAAAAGTTTGGAGGTCAAAAGTGAAAAAAAAATGGTTTGCCGATTGTCAAAAAATGACACTCGGCACATCACCTCTTTGCCGAGTGTCAGGAGAAAACACTCGGCAAAAAATTTTAATATAATTTTTAAAAAAACCCTCTTTGCCGAGTGCTAGATCGGGAGCAGTCGGGAAAGAGAGGATTTAATCCCGCTGAGCTAGACGACCCACACACACACAGACACACGCTTCACCCCGCGCCGCCATCAAGGCTGCACCTCCCAGCGGCCACGGAGGAGGAGAAAGAGAGGAGAGAGAGGAAGAGAAGGAAGAGGAAGGAGGAAGAAGAAGGAGGAGGAGGAGGAGGTGCCCCAGCCACTACCAGCAGCTCGTCGTGGACGTCGCGCGGATCGAGTCCGGCGGGGTGCCCTTCCACTGGTACGCCGCCACCCCACCGCCACTGTGTAGCTAGTAGAGTAGCTTAGTTGTAACTAGTTCTAATTAGTTTTCTTGCTAGCTCTCTAGTATAGAATTAGTTGCAAGATTGTTTGTTTGTGTGGAGGAGGCTTGCTTGTGGTGCTTCAGAGCTATAGCAATATTTTCATGTTTCGTATGACCATCACATATTGTTTGTTTTTATGGCTTATTATAATCTAGTAGGAGGCCAATAACTGTATAAACTCTGTGGTACTATACAGCGTATTCTTGCATGTTAGTTCTGTCCCCGCACATCTTTAATTTGTAGATCTATTGCTAAAACAGTATACATGATTTTCATGTATCAAACTTATAAACGCTAGGGTTATAAAGATGACCATCTGATTCACCAGCCAAAACACTCTGATTCACCAGCGTTCGGTGTGCTTCAGTGAACCGAACAGCTTTAGGAAAAAAGCTGCTTTCTACTTTCTTGGTCCTTTCAGGAAGAGAATAGACGGCCTTTTCTGTATGTAAGGAAAAGTGAAAACAAGACAATATATTTGCAATCTCATAACTAGTCTCTCTTCATATATATTTTGATAAATATAATGTACCTTGTTACACCAACCAACACGCTAAGAATGTAGCTGTATATAAGAAGATACAAAATCTGTTTGAAGTAAAACAGTCTAAACTCTTTCAAATTTGATTATCCTTTTTCCAACTGCAAACTGATGTTAGTTAAATACAATTCATCATGCATCATATACCCGATTTTTTATTATCTTCTCAGTGTCAGCAGCTGTGAGATGCCTAATGCCATATTCCCTCAGCCAATTCTTATCTGTAAACGCCCCCATCTTTGAGTTGTTGCTCATCAATCTTCAGTAACCTCAATCCCTCAGACAGTCGAGGGAAGAAGCCTTCAGGTCTCAGACACCACGCTGAAAAAATAGCAAACAAAACGCTTAGGTCGCCCTGTAGCCTTTCTACTCCATCGCTGCTAATCTTTATGCCGCTTGTGAAAATGCCGCCGAAAAGCAGCTGGTCTACCCCGCTTGCCACACTTCTCCATACCGTCACAAAATCAACGGTATTTAAGCCACCTTGAAGCTTAGATAGTTGCCCTTGCATGTAGTCTAAAGATTCTATGAAGGTTCTGGATACAGCAGGACGAGCACGATCAATTAGCAAAGACAAGGTCTGATGAACGGCACTGGTGATTAGTGGAGACTTGCAATCATCTGAGTCATACTCAAGCATTGTTCCTTGAATTCTTGCACTCCAATTTTTCTCTAAATCCATTGCTGATTGCAGCTTATTAAGACTCTCCTGTCTCTCAATCTCTGCCCACACTTGAAGCCAATCTGGGCAATCACAGAAGACACAGAGGACTGAGATCCTCTGCCAACTGTCATCATCCTTTACCGTAAGTAGCAGTCCAGTGCCTGAGATTAAACCTTGAATCCGCTTGTCAAAAGATATCATTAGGTCAACAAGGCTGAGCCACGAGACTCTAGCCTGATATGCCGTGCTACCTGCATCACTTGAGCTACTACTTTCCTGAAGAAGTTCAATCTGCTTAGGAAATATCTCTTTCACCAAGTATGTAGACAATGCAATGACCATTCCTGAAATCCACTCCTCCCTACAACAATGGCTTGTGGTCTTAGTATAGCTAAAGATCGGTCCACTCTGTGATCCACGGAAGATAGAAGGCGAGTCCATTGTGGTCTAGTCGTAGTTACAGAAGCTAAAAGATCTTCTATGTTTTTAAGATATCCAATAGCAACATGATGTGTTTTCTGAAAAAGAAAAGAGAATGCCAAAATTAGCAGCTGTCAAGTTGACTCTCCCAAGAATCACAATATGACAAGATCCATACCTCCGAATTGTCTACAGGAGATTTAAGTTTTCCAGTAACAGAAGAAGAAACAGCATCTTCTATATCACCCACCAAACTGTCAAGTTTGAGAGCCATTTCTGTATAGGACAACCTACCGTTAAGAACACACCAATTACAAAGTTAAAGGGAAACAGAGTAATATTTTAATGTGAAACCCACTTTTAACTTGAGTTAGCAATGGACTTCTCAACTATATATAATAATATAATAACTATGTTCGAACATTCCCCATTCTGATATTGTTTCGAATATATACACCATGTTCTCAACTATCATGATACAGTGTTTTTGTCTCACAATAAAACAGCATCAGCCGACTTATAAGCCACAGAAAAGATGGTGGGCGGTGGGAGTAGGAGGAGGAGCAGCCGCACGAGGGAGCCATCGCCTACCGCCCGTCGCGTGAGGAGGAGGAGGAGCAGGTGCCCCAGGAGGACGTTGAGGAGGCGTAGGAGGACGCGCAGGAGGACAATGAGGAGGAGGCGACAGCAGGGGGTTCCGCTTCCTCTAGTTCGTCGAGCGTCTACTTGCGAGGTCCCGCGAGCCTCCCTCAGCGACCAATACCTCGTGAGAGACGCCCGCTGATTCGACCCGAGGGGGAAAAGTAAGTAACTTTAGATGTTATCACTACTTTATATGATATATTGAAAATCAAAATAGAAACTAATAATTTTTCTTAATCACTTGGGTAGGAACTGGACGATTGTGGCGAGTGGAGGTGGTCACACACGCCAAGTCAATGGCATCCTCGGTCTTCTGTGCAAGGAGCACTTCCCTGGCCTGGTTGAGTACACCGGAGTGACGGGGCAGCCTACTCGTTTGACCACTACGCCGCCCCCCGATGCTACAGATCGGGCCCGTAGGGTATTCAACAACAAGGCGGAGCGGGTGAAGCAAGAGCTGTGGGTAAGTCTCCCTCGCACTACATTGCTCAATTCATCGCATTCATTGGATATTCTTGAAATAATGAATGGATACATCGTGTTTGTATGCAAGATTTCTTTAGATGCCAGGACGGACATGAGGCCAGGGCGGATGCGGTGGCTACCAAATGCTGCAAAAAAAACTCATCGTGGACATGCATTACGAGGCGCGCATCCAGGCCGTCATAACTTACCACAGGACCGTCCTTGGAACGAAGGTCATCAAAAGGGACACAAGAACCATGACGCTGACCCGGGACCAGTACCTGCAGGTAAATACAGAACATTAATACTGATTCCTTTTGAGATTAAGTAGGCTTAATTTCATCTTCTGATATGTCATGTACGATGGTCTGTAGATGATTCCTTATTGGTGTGCCGCGCATCCCCGGTGCTGGGAACGGATGGTGGACAAGTGGTGCTCACGCGAGTGGGAGGAGACGCACAACTTGTGCCGAGAGCGGCGTTTGATGATGTCAGGTGTAGCACACCATCAAGGCAGCTGCAACCTCAGCGGATACGTAGAAACATGGGTACACAAATTCATTTATTTATTCTAACGCTCAATTCTGCATGATTTCTAATCATCTTGCTATTTTTCTCGCAGTCGGCGTCACATGGTGGCTAGCCTTGCTCCATCTTCAAGGCATTTGCTATGGCCCACAAGGGCAAGGCAACGTCCGACATCGACTACAACCCGGAGGACGGGGCTGAGACGTACAGCAATGCGGCCGTCCACAACCACCTTAGTGAGTACACATCGATGGCAAGGGAGGTCCATGGGCCAGAGTACGATCCGAGCACCGAGGACCTTGATGGAGAAGTCGTCATGAGGGTGGGAGGAGGCAAGAAGCATGGGCGATACTGGATTGGCGACGGCGCAATCGACTCGGCCGCTACCCTAGTCTCTCCCAGATTCGAGCAAGCAGCATGAGCAGGAGCCCGGCCATACGACCTCGGCAGGACACTTCACACCACCGGGTGGAGGCACTCGAGGTTATTCCTGGTTTATTCGTTGTTCATTGGTTTTTTCATACCTTTCCTTTGCATCATTGTAACATTGGGGTGAATATATTGTAGGCCCAGCTGGAACAAGAGAGGAGGATACGGGAGCAGATGTAGGCGAAGATGGAGAGGGTGGAGGCCGAGCGAGAGGCTGAGCAGCGGAGGATGGCGGAGATTCTTCAGTACATGTAAAGTCTTGGCGCCGCTACGGGTGTAGTTCCGCCACCTTCGCTATTCGCTCCACCTCCAACTCCACCTCCTCATTATTCTACTCCTGTGAGTATAAATGTTTTAGTTTGTATGTTCATGCTTACGGTCAAACCTAGTGGAGTATGAAAGTTTTATTCATGTATGATATATATTTATCTTGTCTCATACATGCAATCTCTTCTCCTTTGTGCAGAATCAATCGGCGGCATCGAACGATCCTCATGCTTCAGCGAATCTTTCACCAAATTAGTCTCATTGGCCATCTTGGTGATGATACTTGTGGTTGTTAATGGTACTTTTATTTGCAATTGTGATTGTAGATGATGGAGCACTTGGATTACTTGTGAACTTATTTGTGATATATTGTGAGACATGTGACGTTTTTTATATATATGTGACGTTTGTGATATATATGTGGTGTTGGTGATATATATATGTGTTGTTGATGATATATATATGATGTTGGTGATGTTTGTTATATATATCTTCTGTTTGTTTGGATGGAATGTAAAAAACAAATAAAAATGTTGTTTTCAATCACTTTGCCGAGTGCAATGGCCATGACACTCGGCAAAGTGACGACCTGAGAACATGCCTGGGAACATGCTTTGCCGAGTGCAAAGGCCATTGCACTCGGCAAACATCACAGATTTGCCGAGTGCCACGGGCTAGGCACTCGGCAAAGGTCGCCTGTTTGCCGAGTGTCTTGCCGGTGGCACTCGGCACAGTGAGCCACCTTTGCCGAGTGTCTGAGTCAACGGCACTCGGCAAAGAGGCGACCTTTGCCGAGTGCTTGACCTTAACACTCGGCAAAGCGGCCGTCACGGTGGCGCTCACCGTCACGGCGACTTTTCTTTGCCGAGTGTCAGATTAGCACTCGGCAAAGGCTTTGCCGAGTGCTCGATAAAGTGCACTCGGCAAAGAGGTCTTTGCTGATAAACTGTTTATCGAGAGCCCTTTGCCGAGTGTAACACTCGGCAAAGGCTTTGCCGAGTGTATATTGGCCTTTGCCGAGTGCTCGAGGCACTTTCGGCAAAGAAAGAAGCTGAATTGAGTGGTGGCGCCTCGTCCCTCTCTCAGCCCGCGCGCCCTGCCTCCCCCTCCTCCCTCTCCGGCACCCGGCCGCACGCCCGCCCCCCTCCTCCCTCGCTGGCATGGCCCGCCCTCTCCCTTCCTCTCTCGGCATGGTGGCGCTCCCCCTGCCTCTCCCTGTGCGGTGGCGCACCTCCCTCCCTCCTCCACCGCCTCCACCAGATCCAGGCCCGGCACGGGCGGATCCGGCGACGGTGGCGCACAGGGAGGCCAGATCCGGCCCCGGCGCGGGTGGGCGGATCTGGCGCATGTCTCCTCTCCCAGCGCAGTGGCGCTCCCCCTGCCTCTCCCTGCGCGGCGGCGCACCTCCCTCCCTCCTCCACCACCTCCACCAGATCTGGCCCCAGCGCGGGCGGATCCGGTGATGGTGGCGCACGGGGAGGCCGGATCCGGCCCCGGCGCGGGCGGACGGATATGGCGCGCGGCCCTCCTCTCCCGGTGCGGCGGCGCCCTGCCCTCTCACTCTCCCAATGTGGCGGTGCCCTCCCCCTCCCTTTCCCGGCGGTGGCACCCTCCCCCTTCCTCTCTCGGCATGGCGGCGCTCCTCCTGCCTCTCCCTTTCCCGACGGCGCTCCTCCACCGCCTCCACCAGATCCGGACCCGGCGTGGTGGCGGCCTGGGCGTGGTGGCACGGCGTGGTGGCGGTGCGGCGTGGTGGCGGCGCAGCGAGGAGAAGATGGCGGCTTGGTTTTTTTTTTTTTTTCTGAATTTTGTTTTTGCCGAGTGTGTTTTGGGCACTCGGCAACATCTTTACCGAGTGCGCGACAAAAAACACTCGGCAAACTAGCGTTTGCCATCAAAACGTTACCGAGTGTCATATGCCGAGTGTAACTCTTTGCCGAGTGTTTTTGAGGCTTCACCAAGTGCCCCTGGCACTCGGTAAAGATCATGTATCCGGTAGTGGGAGGTAGAGGAATAGGACTCGATTGCATATGCTTTTGTATTCTTGGGCCTACTAGTTGGAGCATCCGGCACAAAAGGTGCAACGATACTTTTTTCAGAATTGTTACGCATGCTAGTTCATAACTTTTTTTTTACTTTTTATATCAGGATAATAAAGAATGGATTCCATTAGCTATCACCATCTAACCTTACAGAATATCGGAATCCATTGGCTCTGCCACATAAAATTAATATCAAGAGCCATTTTCACCTTAAAATGTACTGTTTCAAACAAAACTCTTTTAGTAAAGTAATTTTGAAGGAAGAATTTGCTCGGGTTATACTAAGAGCAAAGGAGAAGCATAAATCTACTCTTTGTTTGTGGCTAGAGGCCTTTGTGTAATCCTGTTGATTTTCTTCTTTTTATTTTTTGTTTCTTGAGCTGTACCCTTGCACTTTTTTTAGTGTTTTAATTTAATAAATTTCATTATGGGGGCAATCCCTCCTGTTTTCCTTAAAAAAACAAAACTCTTTTCAAAATGTTTATGTGCTTTTTAACAAAGATAAAGAGAAATTGTGATTAAGTCCATCCTAAAAAAGAATATTCAATGTGCCTAATCTTACCATCCATCTGAAATCAAGTTGTACTCGATTGATTTATACACACTAAGGGCCTGTTCGGTTATCGCTGTTCCGGGCCGTTCCGGGCC